GAGAGAGAGAGAGAGAGAGAGAGAGAGCGAGAGGGAGAGAGAGAGAGAGAGTTGTGAGTGGGTGAAATGCCCCTTCACATTCAGAGTTCCTTCCTCCTCCGCCCTCCCTTTCCTCAGAAGTCTCAAGAATCTCTTGGCAGTGGAATTCATTAGAAAGGAGGAAAGACGGCAACCTCAGGGCTAGTGAGCCTAGGAAGAAACCAGTGGCCTTGCAAGGTGCTGGAACAGCTGGATTTGAGGCCTGGCTCTTTCACTGACCACCCAAGGATTTGACTAGTGAGGCTCTGAAAGCTGTAGTTTGGGCCCAGCCTTTGGTCCTACCGATGACAGCTTCCACACTCTAAGTATTGACTGTGCAGCAGCAGGGCCCTCGTGGCGATGCAGCCTCCGGAGATCCTGCAAGATCTGCACCCCTGAACCATAAACAGGCATGGAGGCATGTGGCCCCTAATATGGCTATGGATTCTAGCAAGAAGCAGAGCCTGTTCTCAAACCCTACTCTGCTCACTCCAAGCCTGGCCTTCTACGGGGTCCTCCCCCTGTGGTAGATGGCTCTGACACTAGGATCCAGCGACTGACTATTCCCGTGGGGAGAGGAAGCTGGACTTTTCTAGGGGATTCTGAGCAGGAACAGGCAATGAATGAATGGGTCATTTCGTTCCCTTTGTTTGAAATGGGGCAAAGAAGGTGATGGAGCCCCATGGCCAGGCTAGGACTCGCTGTGCCATGAAGGGGAACCCATGTAAGGTGTCTTCAGGAGCAAAACATCCTCTGGTCAAGGTCTCCTGGGTGGAGACATCTGAGGGTGACTGGAACTGGGACGTGGGCAGTGGTAGAGGAGCTTCTCTGAAGGTTACTTACCGGAAGCAGATGGCCAGCAGCTGAGCCACAAAGTAGGCCCCCTCGCACACAGAGACAGCAGCTCCTGTAAACCTGTGGATGCAGACAGGTGAGGGAAGCCAGCACCTCTGTCCTCCTTGGCTTTCCCCAGGGCTGTCTTCTCATAGCATCTTGGCCTCCTGGGTATCTATAGCCAGCAGGCAACCTGGACTCACCCAGGCAATATTCTCTAGGTGCTGTTGAAGTGCATGCTGGGTGCTCCTCATGGTGGAGGGATGGGGCTGAGGGTCAGAGATGGGTGAAGAGGGAGCTGTGGCCAGCAGATGAGATGGCCTTCACTCGGCACCCTGTGTGGACACTGGCAGGGGTGTCTTCCTACCTGCTGGTTACCAGGAAGGACACCCACTGTCTGTGCTCCAGCCTTAGGTCTGGACCTGCTCCTGACCATTTCCTTCTCTTTTTTCATCATCCACTCACTAGGAGTTTTTCAATTATGTTCCTTAAATACCTTTGGAATCACTCTCATTCTCCCTGGCCTTTCTGACATGTTGCCTGGGTTCAGGTCCTTTCCCCTGGATCCCCACCTCATTGATCCGTGGCTCTGTCTCCTGCTCTTCCACTCAGTCACACTGGGATGCTGAGGGCTCCATCTGACACTCAAAGCTGATCATGTTCCTTTAATCCAGGCTGCCTCAAAGGCTCCTCATGCGCCAAGTATAGTCCAGGGACGCTCCAGTCAGAATCTCTTGGGGAATGTGTAAAACCACAGATTTTTGGTCCACACCCAGACATGATACTTCAGAATCTTTGAAAATGGAATATATATATATATATATTCATATATATATATGTCACTGTGTGCCAAGCATAGTTCTAAAGGCTTTACAGATGTCAGCTCATTTAATCCTTGCAAAAATTTTATGACAAGCACTATTATTACCCTCAGTTTGCAGGTGAGGAAACTGAGGCACAGAGAAGGTAAGTCTCGCCTGTGGTGACACAGCTAATTAGTAACAGGGGAAAGATTAGAATCTAGCACTCAGGTTCCTGAGCCTGTGTGCTTAACAGGTAAAACATTGCATGTGCTTTGCAAAACAAAGTATATCCTGAGACAGTGGGGGAAATTGAGGCATGGGGAAAAACTGACTCATTTAGACTTCTTGTCTAGTGTTAGTGAGAGGGATGAATTGGGCAGGTCATGGGTGCTGATTCTGTGAGGGTTAGAGAGCAGGGCAAGGGTAGATAACATAAACTAGTTCAAATGAGGTCACCACCCAATGACCATCTGAGCATGGGGTCCCCTTAAGACAGAGATAGAGCTGCCAGGAAGAGGCAGCATTCTGGGCAGAAAGCAATCTGCATCCATCTGCTAGGGACGTGAGCCATGAGTCAGGCACCCATTGAAGAGGAAGATAGTTCAATCAGCTTCTGGACCCCAAGGAGACAGTGCACAGATACCAGGAATAGGGTCAGTGAAACATGAAGGATGTTCATAACAAGGAGTAGTCACTTTCAGCCAGCAGGGGCTTCAGGCTTGGGGCATGCTTCCCGGGGCAGAATGGTAGGAAGGAATGTCAGGCTTTGGTAATGTCAAAATGGGTGGAAGGTACTTGGGTAGTCAATGGGATGAGCAAGACTTGAAGGTGAGGTCATGTAGGTGGGTTTGAGAAAGAGTCAAAAACCCCTAGGGTGTAAATGATTGACAAGAAATAAGGCAGAGGAAAGAAGATGGCATGGGGTATGTACTGGAGGTGGTAGGAACTGTTGAAGGTGGTTGGAGAGGTCTGTGTGTTTAGACGGCAGTGTGGAAATGGGCTTGGAGAGTGGAGTGCAGCTGGGGTATGGGTGTCAGCCACCAAGTATCGCAAAGAGCCTGCTCTGAGGCCGGAGGGTGGAGGACTGTTTAGGATACAAGCCAGCTGCCCCTGATGGAGGTGGAAGTGGAGATGGAGCCTGAGGAGGGAGAAAAGCAGAAGATGCAGATCAGGACACTTATGGGGGCAGCCTGGTCAATCTTTACTCATCGCTTCTTGGCTCAGTAATCCCTTCAGCACCCAGAGGCTGGAAAACAAGTCTTCCTGCATCAGCAGTGAGAAACTGGTGGAAACCCCTCAGGAGGGGGCTTCGGAAACACTGGGTCATAGACACGGGCTTTCCTCATGCCTGGCACACGATGATCTCATTTTTCCCAGAGGGAGTGTGCAGAGGCAGCTGGTGGTTGAGAACAAAGGACATCAGCTGGGTTTGAACCTGGACCCTGCTGCTCATGAGCTTGGCCATGTGGGCTGACCTGCTTACTATCTCTGAATTTTCTAATCTATAAACTAGGCCAATGTGCACTTTTCCTACGGCTCTGTGAAAATTAGATAACATAATGCAAATAAGATATTTAACTGTTCTTGGAAGCAAAAATAGCTCAACTATATATTCCCTTGACCAGATTCCCCTCTTTCTAAAACAGGAGCTAAGTTAACATTTGCTGAATACAGAGATGACTGAAGAGATGCATAGTTGGGTGGGTGGATGGGTGGTTGATGGGAGAATGGAGGGATGGATTAAACGATGATTGATTGATGAAATGGTTTGCCCAAACCAGTAGCTATTCTGGAAACTCCTTCTACTTCTTCCATCTCTGAAATTGGATGGAATTAGCATGAGAAGCATAGAGGGGGACCTTCTCTGGGTTAGTCTGAGTAGACAGACTTAGCATGAGCTGGAGCAGTACTTGTAGGCGGGGTGGGGCACATCCACACATACTCACAGCAGATAGAAAGCCAGGCTTTTGAACTGTCCCCGAAGAAAGGTCTCAGTGCCCACGCCGATCAACACTAAGGGGGCAAGAGAGAGGGAAGAGTGGGCCTAGGGCTCCACACCACAGCACTGCCCTGCTGAGAGCTCCTTGACTGCAGAGTAAGTCTTCTCCCTGAGGACTGAGAGCAAGGATTTGTTCTTCTCCATGTGGCACAGACAGCTGTGGCTGGGAATGCGAAAGAGAGCAGAAAATCTCCTGGATTGGTTCCTGGAAACCACAGGCTGAACCCCAGAGGTTTTGTGATCCAACCTCCCAGAGCATGGTGCCTGTCTTCCTCCTATGTTGGTCATGCAGCCACTCTTAGTGCCACCAGGGACGGCCCACACTGACATGCCACCAGCCCCTTGGGTCCACAGCTATCCTCCGTGTGTTGTGGCCCACACCAGTGTGTGCTATATGTCTGACTTCAGTGCTTGGCCATGAGCAGGAGCTGCCCAGCCCTATTCTTTTGCCTGGATTACTGGGCTTGCTGTTTGTGTGACCTCAGTCTCATGTGCTGATTGGGTGGCTGCATCTCACACACACAGCTCTTTGCTTTGGACCCAGAACTGGTAAGGCTCCTGGGGTGTCACTCCCACAGGTGATGTTGCTTAGCCTCAGCTCCCCTCCCACCTTTTCTTGGCAGTTACTATTGACCTTCCATTTGTCCAGGGTGAATTTCGCCTCAGACCCACCTTTCCCTGCTTGATGGCTCCAGATCCTCTCCTCACAAGGATCTCCCACAGCTTCCCACAACCACCACAGCTCTGACCCTTCCAGTCATTGGCCTACTAATCAGATCTCTTTCTGTACCTAGGGGATGACACCCATGAGCACCCTGGCTTCTCTTTCTGGGCTCTGATGATGCATCTGCTGTGGTTTCACCCTGTCTGCCTCCCCGGCACTCAAAGAGGGCAGGCTGGGTTGTCATCTTTGGCTGCTATGTGTGGCCCTTCATCCCTGCTGCTGGTGGGGCTGCTTCCCGGCTCCTGGTGCTTCCTGTCTTCCCTGGCAGAAACACCATGTGAGCTTCCATCCCCAGGTGTCCCAAGCTAAAGGGGGCCCTTTGTCCACTGCTGAAATGCTGCCTCCTGGAAAGAGGGGAGGGGCCCTGCCCTGAAGCCACCAGCATGCTACCTCTCTATTCCAGGGGCATTGTGGAAATACTCCAGGAGAGAGGGACAAGGTGCTTTGATCTAGGCAAGGAAGGTTGTCATGTTTCCTAAGTGGTGGATGGAGGGTTGTGGGGCTCCCCTGTGCTTCAGACGCAGAGCAGACATAATGTCCCCCACACTTCCCAGGCTCCTGCTGCCCTGCTGGGTCTTCTTTAGCAAGAGTGGCTGATGCTAGTGGGCCACACCCCTCCACAGTATCAGCCTAACAGAGGGGTCTAAACATGTAGAGTATGTCAGAGCTTCTGCACAATGATCACACACATGTGCTGGCTCCTCACAGTAGCCCCATAATGTAGGAAGTTCTATTCTCCTCACTTAACAGAGGAGAAAAATCGAGGCTCAGTGACTTTGTGTAGTTCACTCAAGGACACATGCTAGAAAGTGAGGACCCCGAGACCAAACTTGAGACCACTAACTTCAGGTGGCATGTGGTTTCCGGGTATCCACTGTTTACAAGTGTGAGTGTGTGTTTGTGTGTGTGTGTGTGCACGTGTGTGTGGGTGTGTGTGTGCATGTGAGTGGGCATGTGAGTGAGTGGGTTTTTGCATATGTGGAGTGTGCATTTTTGAGAGTGAGTGTGTATGTGAACGTGTGAGTGCATGTGTGGTCATTTATTTAGTTTTCATCATGTATCCAGTCTTATTCTCAGCACTTGGTATGTATTAACTTATTTAATAATTGCAACAGATCTATGTGAATGTACTATTGTTACCTCCATTTTACAATAGAGAAAACAGAGGCTCAGAGAGTGTAAGTAAAACCCACCAACCATGAATGCCTAGGTCAGATCCTGAGTTTCAATTTTGCATTTGCCAATGATAGCTGAGCTGCTCAATCATTCTCAATCAAACTGAGGATCAGTTTTCCTATTATACCTTCTCCACATAATGGTTATAAGGATTCAGTGAGATAACTGATACCAAGCACATCACAAATGCTCAGTGAATCACTCAGTAGTGTTTGGTACAAGGGTTCAGGTGAGCCTGGGGAAGGAGGTCTTCCCACACCAGGCCTGGGGAAGAAAGGGGTCTTTGGCTCAGGACTGAGGCTTATGGTTGTGCACTTCCAGGGCAGGAGGAACTCCATTCACATAGGTGGTCTTGGCAAACTTGTAGGGGCTTGAGGCGGATGACCAGCAGATGGCAGGGCAGGGTCGTGGGAACTCAGCTCCTTCCCCTGATGTGTACTCGGTTGGCATAGGGAGAACTATTTTGATGTCTTTTGCTTTGTACACTTTAGACAGAGGGTTAGCAATCAAAGAACACTGTAGAGGCAGTGAATTTTTATAAAAAATAAAAATAACAGTAACAGAGAAAAAAGAGCTGGGTTGGAATCCCTGTGGGTAACCTCTAGTGAGTACTTAACCCATCTGAATTGGGTTTTCTCATCTGTGGAATGGGCAGAATAAGTTATATTTCACAGAGCTGCTGCTTGGATTGGAGGAAATAATGTGCCTGATATGTCAGGTGGCCAGTGCAAGGAGACAGCGGCTCCTTCCCCTTTCCCCTGCACACCATCCCAAACTAGGTCCTGACAAACTTCCCAGCTGCTTGGAACCAAGGAGCATGTGGTCACTTTCCTAAAAGTTCCCTCTTAACTATAGCCAACTGGATTCTGCATGCCTGGACAGAGGGGCACCCTTTGGCTAGAGGAGGAGGGCATGGGGAGCCAGAACTATGGGTCATCAGCCCAGGTGATGCTTAAGGGAATCCAGTGGGGTTCTCATGGGAAGCTAAAAGGCCCTTTAGCACCCAGGTCAAGGATTCACTTTCTGCTTGATGCTCCCAGTTCCAGTATCATATTCCTGGAGGCAGACCATGCCAGGTTGAGGCAACATTGACTCACATGAAGTTCTTCCTCTGTTCCCTGCACTGTCTACCTGTGGCCTTGATCCTCCGACTGCTGCTGCCCAGGAGCTACATGTCATTGTCCTAGGGATGCTCCTGGAAGCTCCTCCTAGATGGCACAGTCGTTTGCTCATCTGTGGTATCTTTTTTTTTTCAGTTGGAGTCTCTCACTCTTTCACCTAAGCTGGAGTGCAGTGGCACGCTCACGGCCACTGTAACCTTGACCTGCTGGGCACAGGCAATCCTTCCAAGTAGCCGGAACTACAGACAAGCGCCACGACGCCCGGCTAATTTTTTGATTTATTATAGAGATGAGGTCTTGCCCAGTTGTCCAGACTGGTCTTGAACCCATGGGCTCAGGCAATCCTTTCACCTCGACCTCCCAAAGTGCTAGGATTATAGGCATGAGCTACCACATCCAGCCACTTCTGTGGTTTCTTGTTGGAGTGTTTTGGCATCAGGCCTAATGGTGGGCTGTAGTCAGGAATTGGACTTGGTCCAGTAGAGGAGATGCGATATGAACTAATTAAAGCACATGCAGTGATGACAGGGACCCAGACTATAGGAGAGGCTCACCTAAGTGCTCTGGGGGTCAAATGAGAAAGGGGCTGTCTTGGGACTATCAGGAAAGAATGCAGAAAGAAGTTCAAACCAGGGTGGACTAGGAAGGCAGGCAGGAAACAGATATGTACAAATGGTGAGGTTAGGCATTCCTGGGGGAGATCCCTATAACAGCAAATTGTTCTGTTGGGAGTAGGGGCAAAGCAGGGAGATAACAGGCAGTATATATGGATCAAGGAAATTGTGAAGTCCTTAAATACCAGACTCCACAGGGTGGACAGGGGAGACCCTTGGGTGTTTTGGAGCAGCAGAAGGCTGTGTTTGGATTACTATTTTGGAAAGTTCCCTGATCTCAGGCACACAGTGTGAGGGACTTTGCTGATATTTGGCTGTGACTGAGGGACTCAGTGCTCCTAACCTCCTCCTTTCCCATCACACTGGTATCTGCTAGCTCCTTTGTTGACTTTGGCTTGAAGCAAAGTCTGGTTGAGGTCCCAGATGGCTCTGTTCACTCATCTGCACAGCAGAGGGGAGGGATCGTTTTGTCTGGGGACACAGACAAGTAGCCCTCCTAGGCATAAAGCAGAGGACATGCCCTATCATTGCATGTTTTTTTGTTTTTGCTTTTTCTGGGCAGTGGTGGGCAGAGGTGTGGGCTGGTCACAGGTGGCCAGAAGGCATTTTGGTTTGGAAGTTCTCTGAGCACACCTGCCCCACCGTCTCTCAGCGTGATGTTACCATGTGCTACGCACCATGGTAGGCCCTCTATACATATCTTGTTTAATCTGCAAATCCCTCAAGGTAGAAACTGTCAATCCTGTGTTATTAATGGGAAAATCCAAGTAAGTTTTTGGAGGGTAAAGCACTTTGCCCAAGGCATACCAGTAGCAAAAGAAGAGAAACTAGGCTGTCGGTGCAATTCCCAGTGGCCCCAAGACCTACAGCAGGGTTCAGGAAAGGACTAGGGTGAGAACGATGCAGGTCAGGGAAGACATTTCCTCGGAGGCCTTCATGAGCACAGGGATTATGCGAAGAAATGAGATACCTGTTGTTATTGGCAGTGGACTCCTGTGTCCTTCAAAACCCAACTGTGAATGGATTTTTATAATATCTGCATCAGTACAAGTCAGGAAACTACTTCTTCACTGCTTCAGTAACCTATCTGGGGCACAAACTATGGCTCAGTGTGGAAAGCAATTACCTGTCTCTCACCCCAGGAATCCAGCAAGGAGCCCTCATCCTGAGCAGAGCTCTCCTCTGAGTGTCAGAAGCTACTGCAACTTGACTCCCTCTGCCAGGGCAGTTCATACCAGCAATCCAAGAGTTTTCTGGTCAGAATCTAAAGATCCCAGTGGTCACAGACCCTCAGTGATGGCACATTATCTGTACCAGTCCTGGGGAAAGCACAGGGCAAAGTAAATACCCACTGAAGCATGGGCAGACAGTCTTTCCCC